TACGGAAAGAAGTCAAGAACTATAATATATTTAAGATTGTGAATTCGTAATTGTGAATTTGTAGTGTGAGAATTGATTTAATTGAATGAATTGAAATTGAAGATGATGAAATTATAAAAATGAATATATACTGTATTAATTGTTGATAATTTTGGAAGAGCATGTCTAGGGAGAGAGGGAGTTGTTGAATTGTGTGAAAAAATAGGTTAACTTCAAGTATTTATAGAGAGAAGAAAAAAGGGGGAAAACCCATGAGTCGAGCCGAGCTTCGGCTCAAGGCTCATTTTATTTATTTATTTATCCTTTTTTAAATAGATAAAATATAAATCCTTCTTCGTTATCTGGGCTTGTGGTCGACTATTTAAGTTTTGAGTAGCCGGAGTTAGAAATTGTACACAAACAAGTTATAACATATACAATTTTTTTAAAGAAAATTAAAAACACTAATATAAAATAACAAATTTTGATTAATATGGTTAAATTAAATATAACTAACCTGACGACATGCAATTTCAACATATTTATCTTGTAGTCGAAAATAACATAGGTAAGTCCTCCCAATATTTTTCTAAACTTTAATTCCATAGAGTATAAAATCAGGGTCATTTTTGTATTTATGAAATATTTTTGCAATTATATAAAGACGTTTGAGCATCATATAGCTACTGGAATAGTAAACTCTAGAGAAAATTTTGTTGTGTCATAAAAACTTGTCAAAAAGTTTTTAACTTTTAAAGTTAAAAGCCAATTGGATTCATTCAAAATAGTGTAATCATCATTTCTAATATGACTATTGTTATAAAAGTCAATTATTAAATTTTCAAAACATTTGCATGACTTTAGTAATAAGTAAGTGAAGTTTCATCTATGACCTACGTCGCTAATAAATGTTTTAGCATTTATCATCCCAAATTTGGCACAAAATTCCTTAAATGTTTGTTTTCTATTAGGGGAGATCGTGATATATATTAGTGCATTCCTAATTCTTTGAATTTCATCTTTAATATGTATCAAACTATCTTGCACAATTAAATTTAAAATATGGCACACATAACGAATATGAAACAAATAACCACCGAAATCAAGCTGCAATGCCCCACACAATTTATCAATAACTACTTTATTAACACTAGCGTTGTTGAATGTAAAAAAATGAATTTTACTTTCACAGTGATAATATATAATAATGGTCATAATCACATTATATATATTGTTAGCGTTATGAGGGAATTTGATAATTTTAAAAGCAATTATTTTTTTATACATACACCAAAGTGGATCTATGTGGTGTGCACTTGTAGCTATATAAGCTTTTTTATTAATAACCTCCCATATATCCTAAGTTAAAGATATGACAACCCCATATTTTTGCAACTTCAAAATCAATTGTTGTTTTGTTGGAAGGAAATATTTTATTGTATATGAACGAAGAGTGTTTCGACTTACCTCAAAGTACCTCGGTTGAAGATATTCTTTTACGTGTGAGACGAAATGTTGGTTGTCCACTATTGCAAGAGATAACTTAGCACCAAAAACAAGTTTCACAATTTTCGTTCAAGCATTCTCCTCTGAATACATCTATGTGGTGAGGGGCAAAGTTGTAGAATCGATGCTTGGACTACCAAATTGCAGTTGTGTTTGATCGGCTTCAAGAAGTTCATGTTTGGCCGCACACACTTTGTAGTGACAATTGAGGTGGGTGGTATTAATGCCTTTTTACCATGCCAATCGTTATTGACAGTATTTATATACTGCTTTGGACTCTAGGACTCTAGATAATACGGCCCATTAAAATCAATTTGAAGTAATTCCAACATTTTGCCTGTTTTATTTCCTTTCACTTCCCTCTAGTATTGGGAATGTCTAAATCTGGTTCCTCCCCTTTTCTGCTTCAGGAATATTAACATCATCAAAATCAATAGGATTATTGCTTCATTCCACACCCAAATTTGGAATATCTTTAGAAATGGGTACTTCATTTAAATCGAAAAATTGATTCTGATGTTGACATTGCGGCATCCCAAGTGATTCGCCTCCGACACCAAACATGCTCTCGACAAATAAGTATGGATCCATTTGTAAATTGTGATGAGATTAAAAATGTACAGTATAGATGATATAGTAAGACGTAAATACTAAGACTTGAGTAAAGAGTACAAAATTAAAATTGTGAAGATTGTGAAATTGTAAAAATGAATGTATATTGCATAATTTCTGATAACTGAGCACAAGAGAGATTAAGAGAAAGAGAGAGTTGTTGTCAAATTGTGTGAGAAAAAATGTTTGGAATGAGGCTATTTATAGAGAGGAAAAAATAAATAAATTTAGTGACCGTTGCAACGGTCACTGAACTATGAATAGTGATCGAAACGGTCACTTTTTTCAAAAAGTGACCGTTTTGGTCACTGCTTAATTACGAGCCACGAGCTTGGGCTCGTGGCCTAAGCTCCTGCCTCACTAGCGGCTTGTTCCTTTGCTCACGAAACGGGCTGACCTGCTTGGCTCGTGCTCGAGCTCATGATTTTATGAGCTCGAGTCGTCCACAAACCTTGTTTTACGAGCTAAGCAGCCTGTTAGCCAACCCTAGCTTTTTTAATGATACTTGAATTTATATGACAATCTCAAAATACTCAAGATACCGAGACCAGAGCCAACTACATATCATTATTGTGGACCTATAGAATTTCTCAAGTAACGAAGGGATTTTATTGAACGAATGGGACTGTTAGATAGTGAACATTTTACCTCAGCTTCACACGCCAACTTGGAAGAGTAATTTCCCATTCACATCCTTTGATGTACAGTATGATAGAGAACTCTGTGTAACGGTGTTTATCAATATAGAGTTTAGGAATAGGTCTGGCTTTACATAAACAAAATTTCCCTATAATGAACGTCCTTCATAATTACAGCTATACATTTCTTACACTTAACACGAACTACATAATTATATATGTATTTTTGAAAGTTGAATTAATCGGTTGTTCAAAATTTAGTTAGGGATGTCAAAAAAAATCGTCAAACCTGATACCCATGGCCCCGCTCCGTACGACATGGGGATTACCCGCTTAATCGAGGAAATTGGGTCGGGGACGGGGCTGGGGATTTTCGCCTCGCCTTGGGTATGGGGTGGGTATGGGTAATAGAGGCCCATCCCATTTATTTATTTATTTTAAGAATTCAATACTATAAATGAAAAATTTCACGAAATGTCATCAATTCTAATAGAAGATGAAAACTAAGATTATCTAAAGAATATGATAAACAATATACTTAGTTTATCAAATATATTCGAATAATTAAACTTTTGAAAATAAATAAATAAAATAAAAAATTTAATGACTAGATTAATGTCTTACCTTAATGAATGGGGACAACAAAATGAATTATCAGAAACTAAAAAATTTAAATTAAATTAAACAAGTATGTAAACGGGCCAAGATGGGGGTGGTGGGGAACCCAATCAGCCCGAACCCGCTTCATGCCATTCCTAAACTTAGTAGACATTATGAAAATTTATGCTTATGCTAATTTCTTTAGGCATCTAAGTAAAATTACATATTTGTATGAACCAGAAAATTGTAATATGAAATGACTCAAGGTTTGATCAAAGAGTTCTCAGGTTGCAACTAATAGTTCAGCAGATATTAAAATGCATGAAATATATACTTGTGGAATGTAATCTTGGAGGGGTGATAGACATCGACTGCAATATTATTTTGGGTGTTATGATCCGTCAATTCTGCATTCCCATATCAACTTAAATCTATGTAGTGGCAAGATTATTGCCCGAAATAGTCTCCAATTTACCACATAAGCCTGATTCAATTATATAACTTCATAAGATATTAATGTGTAACTGGATATTCTTGAATATAATACTATCAAAATGCAAAGGATTACCCTCTAGTTTGAATTAGAACTTGTGAAATCTAGTGAATTTATCCGTACCCAAAGATATCATAATGAAATTGGATATTTGAAAAAGATTTTTTTGATCATTTTAACTTTGTTTTGAATATTAAAAATTGTCAACGAGGTATGTAAAAACAATAAGTTAGAGGGTATAATTATTGCTTACACATCGTCAATAAATTATCAATTAGACTAAGGGTGCAATCTCGTTATTTAAGTAGAATAAAAAAGTATTAACACATTATCTCGACCCATCAAGAATTGATCGGATCAATTTAATGGACCTTCGTTTAATGGGGCTGATCAGGTCCCTTCGAAGTTAGAATATCAAGAAATTCAATGCAAATAACTAAATTCAATTAAAAATAACATATATATACCTACTTGTTGAAAAGAGTAAACTTGTGATATTAAGATTGATCCAAACTAATAGAGGGCAAGAAGAAAATTAACTAAACTTCAACTTTAGAGCACACCCTCGAAAAATTGAGTAAAAAGAATAACTTTGGGAGTGTATATCTCTCAAGCGAAGAAAGAGAATATTTGACTATTACGGGTTGAGAGTTGAACAAATCATGAGCTTGATACATTTACACGAGTTTACACACACACGTCAAGTTATGAATATAATAGGTGGAGATTGATTTGATTTTGAACTGTTGAAGCTGTTCATTGTGTTGATAAAATATAACATTTGTCACAAAATTATTGCATAATATCAGTAATATATAGATATGAAAAGTATAATTAATTAATGACAAATACATTAAATCTTCACTTTTTATTTTTATCTCAAAAAAGGAATTTTTACAATTGAATCTTTTTTTATGTGATAGTTCAAGGATATTAAGGAACTTTTTTCATTTTTGGTCATATTCTCATTCATCTTTGCTCCAGAATTTTCCTTATTTTAATCCATTCGTTGCGAGATATATGCTTTTTAAAAAAAGACTGCAAAATAATCCCTTCAAGGTATACTATCCAATGGATTTTCCACCAATATTTCCATAATTTTTTTTCCTAAGTTTGGACATAATATGCAGTATAAATAATCTATCTTTGTACAATTATCAACAATTCTGATCATGGCAGCCATTGTTCGTCTTGGATTTTTCTTATCGTTCTTCCTTCTTTTCCTAGCCCTCCTTACTCTATCCCGTAATCTCATGTACATGTACCAGTTGACTGCAGCCCCAGCTGGGTTCTCGACTCTCAAAAACTTCCAAGGTTCTAAAAAGGGTGATAACATCAAAGGACTCTATCAAGTCAAGAAATATCTAAATGATTTCGGTTATCTCCCTACTATTGATCATAACAAAGATGATGAATTCGATGACGAATTAGAGAACGCGATCATAACTTATCAACTCAGATACAACCTCGAGCCTACTGGAGTTCTAGATTTTGGTACGGTGTCAAAAATGATGGCTCCTCGTTGTGGGGTACCGGGCATCTTCAATGGCACTAACACGCTGAACAAAATTTGGAATTTTAATCGATCCTGAAAGTTACATATGGAAGTGCAAAGATGCAGTGTTCATAGTTTTTGTCTCAATAGTACTGTTGCCTGTAGTTCTAATTATTTTCCTGATGAAAGTTTCTTGTCTTGCCGGAATGTGCAGGTTTTGACAAAAATTTAACTAGCATCTGCTAGCAAGGATTAAATAACTTGTTTTTTTGTCGATTTAATTTTTCAAATGTCAACGTGCACTTTATAAGTTTAATATGCTTGTCATATTTCAATTATTTGAGCTAGATAACGTGCGTATAATTTTTTTATATATACAATGATAGTTAAAATGGAATCTTTTAAAAAATAAATCACATACAGACTTGAGCTAGATATTAAGTTATGAAATCTTCCCGAAACCATCAATCCTTGGATCATTATCTTTTTGTTAGAATATTATAAATTGTATAATCACACAAAGTAGAAGATCTATTTATAGGGGTATATATAATTCTAAAAGGGAAGATAAATCACACAATCATCAACTATTAAGGAAAAAAATCTCATACAATTGGAAAAATATCATGGAGATTATTCTTTACAATTTTTTTGAATCTTCAACACTTTTCTTGCTCAAGGCATTGAAACCATTGTGGTTAACTCCTGTTTCAGCCATTGCTAGAGTAATTAAGGAAATCTGAGATTTTTGTGCAAAGAATATTTGGTGGTGGGGGCGTAGGGTTTGAGTTGATTAATTCCTGTTTCAGTTATAGCTAGAATAATTAATAATGCTAGATTATTTTAGTTATTTCTGTCTAATTTTATTATATATAATTTTCCAATATTAAGCAAGTATGCGATATGTTGAACATGATACTATAGAACACATAGCATTTTATATTTTAGATGGTAGGAGACAAATTTATAGCTGTCATTTTATATTTTTTAATTGTGAGCCTAATTATTATCGTTGTGTGAAGTCAGTATACAGAGCGACGTAGTTTTATAGGATAATTTCATTAAAAATAGTTTAGAAATTTCATACTTGTAATTATGATTTTTTTCCCTAATTTGTCCTATAAATAGAGGGTCGTCATTAATGTTTTATATTATCATAAAAAGTGAGATGTTAGAGAAAATAGGATTTGTATTTTCTCCTGTAATTTTTTTTTAATCATAATAAATTAGAGTAGTGGCGGAAGAGAACATAATCTCACATTGAGACGAATCTCTATTAATCTTGTTTGTTCTTTTCTGTCATTACTTTTTACTAGGCTTTTATTGCTTTTGTTTGTATAGAATGAAAGTTTGCAATTCTCAATAATGTCTTCTTGAATTACGTCCATCTTTAAATTTATTTAAAAATTCATTGAATAAATAAACAAAAAAAAAAAATGTATGAAGTGAAGTTATGGGATGATCGGTGGCGCATGAACGCCCACTATTGGTCGATTCCTTTCTTTTCCATTTTCCCTATGGTCTTTGGATTTTTCTTGTATTATTTATTTTTTATGGTTTTTCCTTTTAACTTTCTTAAATTTTAGCAGCCACCCATAATATTTTCCTAAATAACCAATATGTTACTAGTACATTTCTCTAGTTCAATAGGCTAAGCTATGTCGTTTTTCTTTAACATTAAGGGTGTGTTTGACAGATATTATTTGTCATGAAAAATAATATTTTTTTAACCCAAGTTCCTATTTTTAGGGTGTTTGGTCGATTTTTTTTTTAATAAAAAATATTTTTCAAAAGTTAATGACGTTATCATGTTTTCTTAAAAAAACAAGGAAAATAATTTCTTTTGGAGTGGATTTTTATTTTTTTAGGCAATTCACACTTCCCTAAACCAACCAAGCCAAGAATCAGGTTAAGCGATTCTAAGGTAATCTTCAGGTATTAATAGAGTCAAGTGTTCTTCGATGTATTCGGCTCAGGCCGATTATGTAGTTGAGAAGGATCCAGAGACTAAGGGTATTAATCAAATTCCATGTTGACATTCAAAAACTTCATTCATTCTCTTTTAGGTGAAAAATCAATTGGACAAACTTTGACTTTACCAAATTGCTCAAAGCTTGGTAATAATTTTACACGATAACTAGTAGCATGAAATCTTCAAGTTAGCACAAAATTAAAATGATTATTTCTATTGATGTAAGCGTGGAACGTGATATATCTACTATCACAATTTCGTAATTAATTATCGTTCTTGTAGTGTTTTTAATAGGCCATAATTATATTCATATACTAACTCAAACAAATTCTTTCCATTTATTAATGTTCACACTAGCGGGACAATCTCCAACAAATGAAAATGAAGATAAGGAAATAGGCATTCTCAATGAGAAAATTTTTAGTTCACAATCAGGCCCCCCAAATAAGAAATCTCTGGAAAGCGCAAATAAAAGAATTAAGAGCTGGGTCTGGCGGGCTTTAGGCGTAGGCTAAATTCTATGACAAGTTGAAAATCATTTGGGCCGGTTCAACTCTTTGGTTGTTGTGGGTCTAAAACCGAATTAAACAGATCTACTCTTGGCTCTAATTGTTAAAAATAAAATCTCATATCAAATAAAGATTAAATTATAGACCAACTTATAAAGGATTAGAATACTCCTTGTAATAAAGTTGACCTTTAAGATGAAATCTCAAGTCTCAATATCATATTAGAGTCCATTAAACTCCAACGAGCAATTTGATTCGATTAAAACTCGAAAAATGAGCATATTAATTTTAGAATTGATCTACTCAAATGAGCCACAACTTGCGGGGATATGTTAGGACATAACTTTAAAATGGAACTTCAAATCTTAATACTAGTGCCCATTAAACCATTTAAACAAGAAGAATTACATGAAACTGGTTAGTTACGATTTTGTCTGGTATTTTTTCCACTCCAGTATGGAAATAATGATATTGCAATTGGGTGATTTACAAAATTATACATGTAGATAGGATATATTTACACTTTACATATCATGTTTTGAATATTTATATTTTACGTTATTTTACTAGGTGTAACAACACACATCATTAGCTAAAAAGAATTAAAAGATTTACAAATATGTCGTCATAACTAGTTAAATAGACAAAAATACTTTGTAAACAACAAATTACGACCTATGATTTAAATGATGTGACAATTTTACATAATGTCACTTCAATTATTTTATCATTTTTCAAAATTTAATTACCAAAAGCCAATATATTAATAAGTTTCTTCTTAGAAATTTTATTATATTTGAGTTCAAATAAATAAATAAAAATTATCTTTAATATGTTAATAACGTATTGAAAAAATATATATAAAACTTCGTTTGATTTTTTCTCGACATTGTAAAATGGAAATTGTTTTCATATCTTAACTAAAAAGTTTTGTCCATTACATTAAATTACAAAAAATCATGTAAAATAATTTCTGATATGTTAAGTACTATTTTGTAGCTTAAAATATTTTTTATTTATTTTAAAGTTGGATGTTAACTCTATATCATTCTACAACCTGGGAACTATTTAGGAATGTACACATAATTTTCTTGATTTTTTTGTTCTCTTTTATGCGTTGAACAGTACCACTTGTTAATAGCGAGCGAGATATATGACAAAATACGAAGTATCAATCACAATATAAAAGGACACAAGAAAATTGCCAGAGGAATGAAGAATTTATTGATGATGGAGAAAGAATACAAAGAATATTGTATTTACAAAATTATCTAACTTGTATAATGTATCAAACTTGTATAAAAGAGCCAATCATACATAGGGAATATATCAAAACTCTAACAATATTCTTAAAGATGGAAATATTATCAAAATGCGCATAGAATGAAGGAAACAATATAAAAAGATAATCTGGTCTCGAAATTTTGGATAAGGTCCTTTTGCGTTGGCTACAGAAAGGAAGGGGACTGAGTGGATTCAAATCACCATGTCCTGTGCAAAATTTCCACATAGCTATTGTGCAGTCATGTTGCACAGTTTAGCTGGTGAGAACTAATAGGTAGAGTTGGTACTGGTTTTGAAGGTTAACTCTTGTGTATTCATGGAAACTGGTAAGCTAATGTGGCATCTTGACATCTCTACATGTATTCACGACGTTCCTTTTATAGTAAGGTAATTAGCTGCATCTGCATTACATTAATGTCATTTTTAATGAGGAGGATTGGATGGGATTCAATAGTATGAAGGTGATTGAGATTTGCTTGGACGGATTGGTGGCAGCCCTGGGCTATATCCCAGATGCAAAAGGAATTATAAGGAAAATTAAGAATTTCATACTTAGGTCCAGCCCAAAAATCTATTTTAGCTAAGCCCTAGGCTCACTGCTAGCTCAATGTCCAATTGTCAAGTTAAGGTGTTCAAAATAATTATTGGGGAACAATTCACAAACATTAAAAAATTTGACTAATTTCTTATTACTTTTAAACATTTTTTTTTATCTTAAAACATTATCTTAATTTTCTTTTACAATAAATTTTGTAACTGCTAAGGGATATAATATCACATTGAATAAAGATGAAAACAAAGACCAATTTATAAATATTTGAGTTACTTCTCTTAATAAGGTTGACCTTTTAAGATGAAATCTTAAATCTTAACATAGCATCAAAACCCATTAAACTCTAATAAGCAATTTGATCTGATTAAAACTCAAAAAATGAGCAAACGAATTTCAAGATTGATATACTCAAAAGAGTCACCATCTTGAAGGGCATCTTAAGAGGATAGAATCCCACATTGAATAAGATTAAAACAAAGATCAATTTATAAAGATTTGGACTATCCTTTTAATAAGGTTGATATTTTAATATGGAACGTCATGTTTTAAAAGTAACAAGGTGACATTTTGTAAAATTATATGTTATACACATTTGACAATCGGTCTCCACCATTGGCCATTGTTGCCTGTTACCAATTGTAACATGATATGTTACGCACATTTTCCTGCTTATTTGATAGAAATTAAAATTCAGATTTTAATCTAAATCAAAATCAAAAATAATTTTAACCATTTGTTCATAGAATCTACAACTTTTCAATTATAAATTTCATCTACTT